CCCCTACCCCCCCCTACATTTTCCTCTTCATTATGCTGTCCAAGTCTCTGCTCCATCCCATAGTTTTATGCGTGCGTACTGCGCAGGGAAAAATTTGTTTGACTTGAATCGACCGTCATTTGCTAGTGACTGCTCGTGCCCAGTACTCCCCGATCTCCCCTTTCGCCAGAGTTATACGGAGTCTGTGGTCTACGGCGCCGTATTCTAAACAACACCCCTTTCCTTTTCTTCCTCGCCTTTATCTCAACAACCGTCGCCTGCACCCTATTTCAGTCCTCCCTTCTCTACTGTGGAGGCTCCTATCCCTTCTTGTAAATAACACCCCTTTACCTGTCTTCTCCCCTTTCTCCCCACAACAGTCCATTGCACAATATGGCGGACGCTCAGTGTATCTTTCGTGCTGCTATGTTGTCCCTGCCCAACCAGCAAACCATAACCACCACTTCCCAAACATGAGCTCGATCTGGCTGTTCAGCAAAAGCAAGGAGGAAAAGAGGGCACGCCAGAGTGACACGGTAAGCTGGCGATCCGGGAGTGAGTCGGGAAAGCTATGGCGGAGCTTTGTTGAGCTGTATTTACAGGGCCATGTGACAGTGAGATGACGGCACGCCTCGCACGATCGACTAGCAAAGCACAAGAGAGAAGATCAGGGCAGAGGAGGATAGCATAGCAAGGCGACTATAGTGAATGGCGGACGCAAGGAAACCGCAAGTGCAAGAGAAGAGAACGGCTATCTTTGCAACATAGAATCGGAGAGGAGCGTCGGCGCTGGACGGTCTAACAGCCACACGGTTGTCTGTCCCCAGGTGCTAGCCAGACTTTCCACGAGTGAGTAAAACCTTGAAGATAAACCAGGACAAAAGAGAAAGGACAACAGCTGGCGGGTCAAGAGAGCACAGCGATCAGAAAAGCCAGCAAATAGAATCTAGCAACCGCCTTCCGTGATAACCTCTCACAGGGCAGTGAAGAGAGAAGAGAATGGAGTTAAGTGAGAGAGCCAGGAGGCAGCACAGAAGTTTGAGCCTCAGCAGCTGCACCTAGGCCATGGACGGGCTGGAGTTGCAAATGAGCCAACAGTTGTGTGCGGAGAGAGAGAGAGAGAGAGAGAGAGAGAGAGAGAGAGAGAGAGAGAGAGAGAGAGAGAGAGAGA